GAACTTCGATGGCGATACACTCAGATTTCTCACGAATGTCATGACAACTTCCCAGGATAGACTGGGACAGTCAAGCCATATCCCGATATATGCATTGACACTGCAGTGGCATCTGGATTACAAACTGGCAGCAACTCTCAACATCTCTCAACGGTGGTTTCCAAGAGAACAAATGTGTTCTTTGCGCGTCCTCCATTTTTTTGGCAGGCAACCACCTTCATGGCAAAGGTTCACCATTCGCCCAAGACCCGGGCCCAATCATACCGCAGATTACTGTCGCCATCCGAAGTGCCTGGCACTTCGAGGGCCAGCTTGGGATAGATGTGATGTAGATGGAGACATATGGAGACTAATGATTGGCGACACATGGCTGCACATTGCAACCCAGCCGCCCACAACGAGCTCTCAGATCTGTCCTTGACTTCCTAGGGTTCGTCTTCCCTGGAGTTTCGTCGTTGTTTGCCAGCAAGCAAATGTTTGAAGCCAGAAAAACGATGGAAAAAAGTTGAATGCCTGCAAACACATCTTACATATCTCATCATATCTCATTCTGCTCCTTTGCAGCGCTTTTTTCCTTTTTTCTCCCAAGCAGGGCGAAAGGCTTTCGCCGAAAAAGAAAGCCATAAAATGGACAGGAACTGATCTGTCCCACTTGAGGGCCTGTGGCATCCTGTCCTGTAGCCTGGTGCCCGGCCGAAAATGTAGGGCGGATTGGAGGAGCAAAGCACTTCATCTTTGGATCTTTGGTGAAGCCAAGGCCACACCCAATGCAATCAGAAATGCTTCAGAATCCCCTCCCCCGTGAATATTAAACACCCCCCATATGCATCGTGGATCTAGGGGATGAAGCTGTTTGGGACCATAGAATGGGTGTGGTGATTGTATATCATAAGGTGGATGGGATTATGAACCCCGATTCAAGATATTTTTTTGTATATGCCCTCTGGTAAACTAACATAGCTATTGAAAATGGCCATTTATAGTGGATTTTCCCATTAAAATTGGTGATTTTCCATTGCTATGTTAGTTCACCAGAGGGTAATTTAATTCTGTTAGGTTTACCTTGAACCCGATTAGGTGGATCATCCGTTCACCATCAGCTCCAAAGGCTTTTCCAACATCATCCTCTAGAAAAGTGGCCCCAAAACAGGAACACGGAAGCCAGAAGTGCCGCTCCGCCCGCCCGTTTTGGGAAGATATGGAACTTGTCAAAGTCCACTCAGGCGCTTCTAAGGGAACCATCAGCCTCAGAGTTCGGACTCCAACGAAGGGTTTAGCAAGATGCCAAAAATCATCAAAGGCTCATCAGATGCCCTCAAACATATCAACACATGGGAATTACTAAATGAAATATCTTTTATTTCCATGGGAATATCTCATTTAGTAATTCCCATGTGTTGATATTATGTTGATATTTTGTTATCCCATGGGAATTACTAAATGATGTTGAATAATTTTGAAACATATGGGAAACATATGGGAAACATTTGGGATTTATAGAGGAGGTTGAGATTGAAATAAATGGCACTGGGGAAACGCACGTTTTTCGCAGGTTTTTGGCACGCGGAGCTCAGCTGCTCAGCCGCCCATAGCTCGAAGTTTGTGAAGCTTCGCCTCCACCAACTCCATCACCTTGGGCCGTTGATCGAGGCCTTCTTCGTGCCCCAACATAGGCCGTACCAAGTGAAGGAATGGAAAACAACTACACTTTCCACATCTTTCCACTTAAGGCTGGAGAACACCAGGTCTATGTTCGCTGAGCCGGTGGCAACTGACTTAGTATGACTTTGTGACTTGTACTGATGATACTTGGGGAAATAAATGATCAAATGACCAGACTATTTAGAGACCCTGGCTCATATGAATTGGTTTGGGTAGCCTCAACAACTTGCACATGTTCGGACCTTCAAGCCCCTGGTAGGTTGGCTTGGGGCTTAACGGCTTACCGTTTCTGTTCGGAATCTCTTTCGTTCTACGGTCAACACTCGATTGTTGCATGAGAAATCTGTTGTTGACAGTGGGGCGTATGGTGCATAGAACGAATGATTTGGCTCATTTATCTGGTGTCAGTGCTGGAACTCCCTGCTGTTCAGATCAAATGACATCATCGACCATGCCGTTGATTCGTAGTGCCGCCATGTTGTCACAAGGTGTCGCTTGAAGATTCACCTCGCCATGCATGCACATGAATGACACGCGGCTATTGGGATCTCTTTTTTTCTCTCTCTCTCTCTCTATCTATCTATCTCTATCCACTGTTTCAGGTGGAAATGTAGAAATTCTGGAAACAACTAGCCGGTGCACTTACAGAATGAGCAGAATGATCCAGCGTGAGTTCGGGTGCTAATTTGCTGCATTATGTTGCATTAGGTAGATGCCCAAGAGGTTTTGTCTCTCACGAAGGCAAAGCATTGGCATCTGCACCTGTGATTTGCTACAATAGTCAAACTTCAGCAGGGCACAAATGATATAAACAGTTAATTACCAATAATGTTATAAATACATATAGTCTATCATGTTAATAATTGTGAATAAATATATATATATAAACATTAATAGACATAAACCATATATATATCAACAGCTCAACATGACATCATCTTCCATACATCTTTGCGGAGGATCCCAAATTTGGCACCATCTTGTCCCATAGCTCTTGAGGGACTGGCGCTTGCATGTCCTCCCTTGTGGCCCATCGAAAAGTCACCGTCAAGTCGATTGAAAATTGACGTTTCTCCAAGCCCCGATGCGCGTATATATATATATACATATATACTGGTTGGTGGTTTTAACCATCTTGAAAAATGATGGAGTTCGTCAATGGGAAGGATGACATCCCATATCTGAAATGGACAATAAAAGTCATGTTTGAAACCACCAACCAGTATATATAATACCCACTCATCTACAATCCTACCATATATTATATACGTATTATGATTATATATATAATGCTATTTAATACACTATATACTTACACTATATACTTATAGTTCTATAAATATCATTAGATACCCTCTGGTAATTTAACATAGCTATTGAAAATCACCATTTTAAATGGGTAAATCCACTATAAATGGCCATTTTCAATAGCTATGTTAGTTTACCAGAGGGTAGTGTCGTGTTGTTCTCCACTTCCCTTCCCCAACTGCAGGGATCCACATATTTTCTGCCGGGGAGCAATGACCAAACCGGATCTCCTGTCCGGAAAACGCGCGTGCCTGCGCCAAGTTTCGGAGGTCATGTTCCATGTTCTCTGAAACTAAGACAACTAGGGGCAAGTGAAGATGTGAGAAAATACGCAAAGTATAATAGTACCCTCTGGTTATTTAACATAGCCATGGAAAATGGCCCATTTATAGATGGTTTACCTATGTTTACCTATTAAAAATGGTGATTTTCCATGGCTATGTTAAATAACCAGATGGTAATGATGTTTATAATAGTAATGTAATAGTAATAGTACACTATAGCACTAAATATAGTAATATCACTATAGTACACTATAATATCACTATATAATATAATGTTAATAGTAATAGTACACTATAATAGTAATAATACAATAGTAATAATACACTATAATAGTACACTAATAGTAATAGTACACTAATAGTAATAGTACACTAATTGTAATGATGTTTGCTAAATAGTAATAGTACACTATAGCCATATTACCATTACATGGTATAATAGTACCATAGTATTACCGAATGTCCCAACACCTCCAACACCTTCGAACATTCCAAACTGCCGAATTTTTGTATATATACAGATATACTGAAGGAAAATGTGGAATACACCCACACACACAAAAAAAAACAACAACCAGCAGCGAAAACCACCAACAATTCATAATCACAGACCCACCGAAAGACCATGAACATCAATCAAAATCAAGAGAGCATAGCACTTTTGAATACTTTTCATGGGTAAATCAATCCATAGAAATCCATAGAAATCCACCATTGTTCCATGGTTTTTCTATGGTTTTTCCAATGGGTAGCCAACTGCTTGCGGGCAATCCATGTGGGCATCTCGGAGGCGGGCGTCACGGTGATGGAGCTGCCCAGGGCTAAGCACAGGTCAGCCGCTTCCTGAGACGATCCGTTCGGTGTGGATTCTGGTGGTTAGCAGCGATCGATTCTTTGAATCAGGGATTTACCATCTGGTTATTTAACATAGCCATGGAAAATCCCGTACATCAATGGAGGTTTCTAGCTGGGAAAATCAACCATTTAGAACATCATGATAGATGGAATAGATTTACCATGATAGACGGATTTACTATTTATTTGAATAGAATGTAATGGAATAGCATAGAATAGAACAATGTGATTTAATTACAGTAATGAAATTAATAGTGGTATTTAATTGATGGGATTTAGTGGGACTCACTGTGGTTCATAGTATTTAAATGTATTTAATGGGATTTCATAGGGATTCATATGGATATGATGTAATGAACACATTTACAGTAGCCTCTGGGAATGAAATACATTCAAATGCCAATACGTAATGGGATATCAATGAGATATTCATGTGATTTAACCAAGCATTCATGAATGTGTAGGACTTTGTGGGTTACCTTCTGGTGATTTAGCCGTCTGCGATGGAACCTCACGATTATTAACAGGTAAACCATCGAAGTAAATGGAACATTCTTTGCATAGCAAACTGTTCATTATAACTACCAGCAGGTACAGTCAAATGGCAATTGAACATCCCACATGAGTTGGGTTTTTAATATGAAAATCATCCACATAAATAGTAAGAATTGTCCACTGCCATGTGTGAGTCACAGAGGGTACTGGCTCGGTTGTGGCGACCGGCAGCTTCCACATGCCGTACCAATTCGACCAATTTAGTACTGACAACTCAATCCAATAAACAAACATATCTTCAGCCATATTTTCTGAGCTCTTAAAGTCTCATTTACGAGAACACCATGGCTCTAAAAAAATGTTCGGAGTTAGGGGCATTCCATAACCATGACAAAGCTATTTCAAGCCGCCCCGGTACCGAGTGTCGGTTTGGGCCCAAGCCCGGTGCAGAATCTTCTGCGGAAGGTCGTCCCCAAAGCCCACCTGATTGTGCATGATTTCACCCATCAACAAATTTAGTGATCTCATACATCGACTTGAAACCTGTATATGATATGCAATGTAATGTAATGTAATGGAGTGTAATGTAATGTGAGGAAATGTTATGATTATGTTATGATTATGATTATGATTAAAAGTGTTATGCGCGTATGTATTACAATGTCTATATATATAATTATATAATTATATACTATAATATATGTAATTATATGTATGAATGGGGCATCTGGTAGCTTCACCGGGGGAAATTCCTGGAATATCCGGGCATCCAAAATCCAGAGCTTCACCCCAGTGCCAGCGATTCACCAGAGAAAACAAAACCAGCGAAACAGATCCGCTATACCACGTCAGTACTAAATGTATATGATACACCTGATGGTATGACCATATATATCATATTAATTCTATATGGTATGACCATATCATACTAATTCCATATGCGATCGACCTATTTTTTTGTCCATGTGGTGGGGTACAATGAATCAACTGTTTCAGAACCTACCGCATCAAGAACTTCAGGGGCTGGACCGGGCTGGATTGCTGGATTCAAGCCTCTCTACAGGGGTTTATCCAGGGATATCCTGGGGTTTTATCTCTCTCTCTCTCTCTCTCTCTTTCTATCTACAAGGTGGTGCCCCCTAGATAGCTAAGTTGGTTTATAACTCCAATAACTATGGTTTATGGTACTTATAACTATAGTTACTGGGGCTTATAAACCAACTTATAACTAGGGGGCACCACCTTGTAATGTTTTATCATTTTCCGCATTGCGTGTTTCCCGATATTTCCCAAGATCTCCAAGGGTCCCCGGAATGCCGTAGCGGTCCCTGACAAGCGCCGCGTTCGCAGAAACGACCAGTGAGCCCGCCGGAGCAAATGGTGTTGAAGTTTCCTCGTCTCAAAAACATAACCCATAGGATCCATGTATGGTATATATATGCTAACATTTGGGGTATATTGATGGTAAATGTTACTGTACCATATATAGCATACATGGATCCTATGGGTAATGAAAGACCACTGCGAGGGTTGACTTTAAGTGACGGATTGAGGATTAGATGATTAGCTCAGCAGAGATTGGGAGGTTGGTCCCATGTTGAAGATTCTCAATGACTGGGTGATCTTCAAATGGGACACGTCACCTCGTATTTGATGAAAACTCATGAAAATATGCCTGCTTCAAGGCACTTCATATACATAATTTCGGCAAACTCCATCTATGGAATATTTACCAATATTTAAACACCAAAATCACCCAACTCTAGGTAAATATGGGATTGGTGAAAGTTGAAACCCCATCCCCTCCCAAGACAACATGCCATCTGGTTCTCGCCAGGTTTCTTTCAAATTCGGCACCGCACTTGGTGCACCTTCGAAAGCAAACACATAAATGATTGAACGTTGAACTGCATGATTTTGGTTCTTATCGGAACAGTTCACTGAAGGACAAGCAGAACAGGCTACAAACATCCGCAAACTGCCAGCAGTTTCCAAGGTCCATATAATGTCTGAGATGGGCCATGATGAGCCTGTCACATTTTCTCGCTGTGGCCGCACCTCTCCACAAAGATGTTCCCATGCAGCTCACTGAGGGCTGCAGCAGGGATGCCAGATTTGCGGTGCAGCCCATCTACATTCTGCGAAATGATGTGCCTCGGACGGTCCCAAAATTCAGAAGGGATTGTCATCCCCGCTGCCAGGTCAACATCCCCAGAAAAACTCCGCCAAGAGGCTTCAAAATACCATCTTTCCATAGCCTGGACAACACCAGATGCGTTCGTCCAGGAGTCGCTTGCACGCATTGCTCCAAAATGTTGCCCGGTGACGCGCTAGACTTGGGGCGTTCCCAAACCCAGGTCCTGCAATGGCAAACCCTCAACTTGACTGAATAGGCTGACATTTGGTGGGGGGTGCCCATAGATTTTCGCACGATCTTAGATGTTCTATGCGATGATTAGGGGTCAGTGAGCCAAATCATCCGCTGTTAAAAGTCAAAGATACGGGCATGGAACTATCTACTAATGGAGTTGCCGGGCACTTTTGAGCTTTCAGAACTAGTGTTACTGCTAGTGTTAGTGTTGTTGTTGTGGTGGTGGTTATTGTGGTTGTTGTTGTGGTTGTTGTTGTGGTTGCTGTTGTGGTTGTTGTTGTTGTTGTTGTTGTGGTTGTGGTTGTTATTGTTATTGTTGTGGTTGTTGTTGTGGTTGTTGTGGTGGTTGTGGTGGTTGTGGTGGTTGTGGTGGTTGTGGTGGTTGTGGTTGTTGTGGTTGTGGTTGTTGTGGTTTGGTTGTTGTGGTGGTTGTGGTGGTTGTGGTTTGTTGTGGTTGCGGCTTGTTGTTGCTGTTGTGCGTGTTGCTGTTTGTTGCTGTTGTTGCTGTGTTGCTGTTGTTGCTGTTGTTTGCTGTTTGTTGCATGCTGTTTGCTGCGTTTGCTTGTTGCTGATGTTGCGATGCTGTTGCTGCTTGTTGCTGCTGTTGCTGCTGTTGCTGCTGTTGCTGCTGTTGCTGCTGTTGCTGCTGTTGCTGCTGTTGCTGCTGTTGCTGCTGTTGCTGTTGCTGCTGGTGTTGTTGTTGCTGTTGCTGTTGCTGTTGCTGTTGCTGTTGCTGTTGTTGTTGTTGTTGTTGTTTGTAGTGCGTCTCCATTTATGATGTTGCATATATACATTGTTGTGTGCCTGTGTGTTGAATGAGTACATTCCGTTGAATATGTTAATTGGCAACAGCTTCCAATCGAGGAAAACTATATTAATATAAAACATGTTTTTCAAACACCATCACCCGCCATTGATTCTGAGTGTGCCTTAGGTCGTCATTTGAACCTTGGCCTATCGGCCTATCGCCCCCATGTCCTGTTGGCAGGCTAGTGTTTGTACCACTTCTGAAATCTGCAATTCCTCCGAAGGCAGGGTCTCCCAGGTTTTGTTACCAAGGGAGCTGTGCACAGATGGAACATGGCACATCTCAAGGTCTTGATCAGCTGAGTGAGGCCAACCAATGGCCAACCACCATGCCAGCATTGGGTCAAGCACATCAGCATCTATTCAAATCTATTCCTTCCGGAATCCTTTCTTGGGGGTATCTGACATTATGGAGGTGGAGAAATATGCTATATTATGCTATTGAATGTTCTTCATTGGATGCCGTATTCGGTGGGTATGCTTGATCAATGTGCTAAAATTTACTAAACATCGTGGAACTGATTCTGGTTGCTCATCGAAAAATGCCCAATAACAAACCACAAACTAACCGTACCTAGGAGAAACAAAAATATCAAACATCCTGACTAACATAATACTAACAGATCCTACCTAACACAAAACATCGACCCCCAAAAAACAACATAATGAAACATCAGCATGTCATCCCAAACTCCCTTCGCAGTTGCTGCCAATGTGCCCGCGCCCGTGGAAATGCCAGCCCCCGTAAAGGCAAGGACATGGCGAGCCTGGGAAATCATCTCCTCAGCAGATAAATGAGGGAAATTGAGGGAAATTGAGTTTTTTCATACTATTTTCATACTATTTCCCTGATTTTCCTATGGAAAACTCATCTCGAACATCCCTCTTACAGATGCTTACAGTAACTTCGAAACCCATCGAAATCGTGGCAGGATTGTCCAGCCAACCATGATCTTGGGAGCCAACTGAGGATGAGGTCAATCACCGGAGGCCGGTGATTGAACAAAGCCATGGAAGCCATGGCCCATTGAGTTTACCGATGAAAAATTCGGATTTTCACTAGCTATGTTGAAAAAACATGAAAGAACTAAAGGGTGATGTCTATAATGCAAGTATCACCCAAGACCGTGGTGGAATATGCAGTGAAAAAAAGGCCAAACAACTGCTGGTTCACCATCTGGGACCGACTCCGAGGGCTCCAAATCAAGATAATGTCGGACACTTTTTTGCTGCCACACTTTCAAAGGGGGTATTTTTTTATATATCATGGTATATTTATAGAATGTTATAGACTATGCTAGATGATGCTAGATGTATGTAGCCAAAAATTCAAACTCCTTCAACCTGCTGCGTAACTTTCTTGGTCCAGGGGCTGCCAACTGTTGACACTTGGCGTGGAGCTCAGCTTCTGAATCGAAGTACTCGATCAGCCTGTCACTTTCCTGGAGCTGGCCGTGGAACCATGGAACCATGGGACGATGGGACGATGGGATGATTCCGGGACATCCAAGACATCCAAGACATCCAAGTTGCAAGGGGCAACTAATGATACCCTCTGGTGAACTAACATAACTATGGAAAATCACCAATTTTAATGGGAAAACTCACTATAAATGGCCATTTTCAATAGCTATGTTAGTTTACCAGAGGGTATTCCAAAGACTGCACCGTTTCAGGGATCATTGGAGCTTCATTGGAACATACCACATTGGAACATGACCACCCTCTGGTAATCTGACACGGCAGAAAGGCCCAGTGATAGATGATGTGCCTATTAAAAAATGATGTTTCTCCATACCCATAGGATCCATGGTGCTGCTATATATGGTAACATTTACCATCAATATATAATAATATATATATACCATACATGGATCCTATGGGATATTTATGCTAAATTACCAGGTGAATCAAAAGGCGTTCGAGCATCATAGCTGCTCCAGCACGCCAAACAGTAGAATTCTTTGGTCTGGCGTTCATCCACGCGGCCCTTCGGATCCCTCCGGCCGCACTGGGCACAAGCAGGTGGTTTTCCGTTGGCCTCAGGAAACGTTCGGAAAACGGGCGAAGCTCAGCAGGGTTCTGATTCTTTCATGGCATCAATGGATTGGTTTAAGGGAAACATTTTTTCAGGGAAACTATGGTTTGTCCCCCATAGGGTCCAAAAATGCACCTGTTCAAATCATCCAACTGGGAAAATCCAAAATTCCTGATTTAAGGTCTTGTTTGAAATGAAAACATGTGATTTCATGACTGATGGTTTCCATCATATGTCGCCAGTTCAAGTCCTTTTTGAGGTCGCTGAAAATTATATCACGGTGTGTTCACGCGAGCTTCAACAGTGGCTGCTGGAATCTACCGCCTGGCATTAGTTTAAAAAAATAGAAAATATGTTTTTTCCAGGTTCGGTAGGCAAAGTAAAAAAAATAATAGAACATATTTTTCCAGTTTCGGCAACTGATCAATCTAAATGGGCCATCCGGTCATCCATTTTCCAGTTCGCAAACCGTGAATTTACCACGGGCTACATCCCCATGAATCATAGTGTCTAAAGGTATTCTAAAGGTTAATCGGATAATCCCAACCCTTGATGATTAATCCTCATTTTTGATAAACCATGAAAATCCCATGAATTTTGGTTGGTTGATGATACGGAATCCCATGAATTCGTGGCCGCTGAACTCCGGTGAAATCGCCATCCATTCATCCAATTCTTCGCCAAAGTCAGTGAGTCAAATCCATGGTGAAATAATCCACACTAATTATATTTTATATAATCCATCAAAATGTTCATCCATCAACATCCCAGTAATCCATTAATCCATAATAATCCACATTAATCCATTCGAATTCCCATCCCCAAGACATCCCCATGGGATCCCCAAAGGGGTCCCCAAGACATCGCAGCTGCAATGGCCACGGCGGCAGCCTCCTGGCATCCCAGGCAGCTCCGGAGCCCATGTCGTCCATGGTAACCTGCCACGGATGGGGATCTTTAAGGGCCATTAAGGCAGGGCCTAGGGCTATCCTTAAGTGATCCAAAAATTGACTTTCTATGATTTTTTGTGGATGAAGAAATATAAGACATATTATGGATGGGTATTTTTAAAGTAATGATTGGCCGTGATTAAAACCATCCTTGAAATTCAACCACCAAAGAATGGAAAGTGGAAATAAACCAAACTGAATATTGGGATAGAATGGGATAGTCATGGAAATATCGTGGGATTCTTAACTGACTAATCAATATGATTTCTGGGTTCCACAAATGTGGTAGGCCTGGTAGGCTCCCAGTTATAGCATGTTATAGCAATTTTCACAGGGAAAATGAGGTTCTGAATCATTCAAGCGGTCGATTGGAGCCTGGTAAGTTGGCTTGGGAGCTTTGTGCGCCCTCTGAAGGCGATGTCTAAGAGTCTAATCCACCAAGTTACTGTTGTTTCATGGTCAGTGGATTCAAGCACCTAGAAAAAGAAGGAAAGGTAAGACACGTGCTCCCAATCTCCCACATGAAAAATGGAGAATAGTTGAACCATGTTGAACCATCACGGAGGAATTACCCTCTGGTAATTTAACATAACTATGGAAAATCACAATTTTTAGTGGGAAAATCCACTATAAATGGCCATTTTAGTTTACCAGAGGGTACGGTGGTAAAAAACATGTAAAATTTACGGTGCTTTGACCGAGCAACGGCATCCAAGGCCGCAGCATTGCCCGCACGACATGGCGACGCTGCGAGGCTCAAGCTGGAAGAGCTTAAGAAATCGTAAGCTTTTTAGCTGGGGGGGACCATACCCGAATGTAAGATACATTTTACATGTTTTCTGGGAAAATTATGAAAATTTAAGCGTACATGTGTTTTACTGTAAGATGTTTCAAGAGCCTTATCAGCAAATGAAGGTTTCCAGATTCCTGTACAAATTGCTTAGTACCATTACTTCTCTCCATCCAAGTATAAGATAGCCTAAGGCCCTCTAAGAACAGCTGACTGTGACTCTCTGCAGGGAGATGGCTTCATTCTTCCCTGGATGTCCTGGATATTCATATCTTCAAAACAGCTGCAGCTGAAAATCCTGACAAACTCAGAAAACCGGGCGAGACTTCCCATGGATTTCCCATCTCTACCAGGATACCATCTCTCCCAAAGCTTCTCACTGCGGAGGGTTTCAGCAGCTAAACCCACCAGGGCAACGACATGTTCCCCACCTTGACCCGTGACCTCGTCGAGAGCAAAGCCCTGGCGAACTTTCAAAGTCGGCCAGGGGGAATCTCCCGTCCAAAATCTCCCGTTCTATCCGGTATTAATGTGGGTAAAACAATGCCATAAACCACCCATGACTGGGTTGATGGTTTATAGCACCCATAAAGATGGTGATGACTGGGGGATGGTTTGTTGTTTTGCCCATATTATATGGCATTATGAATGGTTTTTAGTGGGACCTGGCTGTAGAGCCTCCAATCGAAGGGGCTCGTGCTCATTGAGCCGGAACTGTGACAAGGAGACAATCCACACCTGGGCGTGGCGTGTTATTGGCGTCTTTGGACTCCATCGACTCCAGTTGCGAAAGAATGTCTGGTTATGATTCTGATAGATTCATCTTAGTTGTTGGGCTGTTATGGGCTGTTTTTAGATAAAATTGCTGATTTGAATGTCCCGTTAAATCTGAGTATCTCAATTTGGTGTGAAGCATCTGAGGATGGACTTTAATCCGAGGAAGGACGGTTTTGATCTTGATTCTGTTGTCATGTTTGATTACCGCTGTTTTTTTGCCCAAAATCCTGTGGATGCCAGCAGCCATCGTGGGAGCCCAAGCTTCAACAACGTATAGAAGTTTGACGCCACTTCAAAAATCCACAGTGAATCACAGTGATATCTCGACTTCTGATATCCGGGTTGCCCAACCGTAATGGGATCCAGCCTCAGCAGCCATCCCCAGCCATCCCGAACCCCAACGGGTCACCTTTAAGGAAGGGAACGCTAGCAGTTTGGTGGTGATGAAATGATCCAACAGATGAGGGGAATCACAACGTTTGCTGCTTGGGATGATGACATGAACCCAATATGATAGGAACATTTCAAGATCATGTTCCAAAGCACCAATGATTTTGAAATGTTCAAAAAAAATCTATCCAATATATGATGTTTGTTCTTTTTTTGTTAATGCTTCTTTGGGAAGTTGCGGTAGATATCAAAACATCAGTTGCAGGTGGTCAAATGATACCGCATCCATCCGCATCCCCTGGTCTCCACACGCCGTCAGATTGTCGTCCTGGACGCTTCGGTACTTCTGCAATGAATGCGTGGCTGTGAAATGCCCTGAGTTCAGGAGGAACTTCAGAAAATCTGTTCCGTCAGCAACCATACCCCTGCCCATCCTGGTTCGAATACAAATCGAACACAGACCCTACCCCAGTTGTAGATGATCCAGACATATCCAGACATTAAATATAAGGGATACCGGCGACATATTTACCAAATACATCCAAATACAAGTTCCTGTGAACTTCGATTTTGCCAGCGTCTCTCCTGGCTTTGGACCAGCACTTCCGCCGCTGCAGTGCCACTTCGCGACAGCAAGGAAGGGCCTAGGAGGGATCTGGGTAGGTCCTGGTGACCACAAAAAACCCACCGAAACATTGTCCAATGGATTGGCTTAAGGGAAAATCTAGAGGACATGGATTTTTCGTATCAATCCATTGGCCCAAACAAGTCCGAGGATGGCAATATCTACAGCTGGTGAGCACACGATCATCCACTGATTTTATCCTAGCGAAGTTTTGGCAGATCACATTTGTCTCCTAGTTATAGTTAAGAATTGGCAATAACCACGTGATATAGTTCGGTTTTGGTATGGGATAAACAATTAGTGTAGGAAACCCAATAATCAAATTACCAAAATCACCATAAGCAGGTGCATCATCCCCAAATGGTAGGTTTATTACTGGGTATCCATAAGATGCCATTTGATTTTGCCGGCTTCTTTGAATCTATGGCACCATGCGACATGTGCGGCTGCCACAGCTAAGCTAAGGCGGCCCTTCTGAAAAACAACAGAGTGAACTTCCACGGGAAAGAAAACAGATACAGAAGCCCAATTTGTTTCGCAAGGGTTAATAGTATATTTATAATCTATATATATATATAATTATGAATATAATCATACATATATATAATCATACATATATATATAATCATATATATAATCATATATATAATCATATATATATAATCATAAATATATATATATAATCATATGTATAATCATATATATATAATCATATATATATAGTCATATATATATAATCATATTTAATCATTAAAGTATATAATTGTATGAATATATATATATATATATGATCATATATATATGTATAATATTGTATAATCACATATAATAATATATATATAATCATATATATGGGCTATTAGCCACTTACGATTCCTATAGGATGCACTCATAGTCATAGGCCTAAGAAAACCTCGTGGCCACTTCCTCTAAAAAATGGCCCCTGAGCTTCAGCACTGCGCCACCAGGGATCAGATTCTGGCGTGGTGATGCGATATGTCAGCGGATTGGCATACATTAGACATATTTATAGATTATAGACATTAGATAATTATATATATATACTATTTCTAAATAAATAAAATAATATGTATTTATATATAATTATTTATTTATATATATATACATATGTGTGTGTGTATGTATATCCCATATACAAGATATTATCCAGACTGAGTGTCTGACTGACTTACAGTAGGTCACTAGCCTGAAACCTTCACCCCTCGGCTGGACCACCAAAAAAGCAAAGTCGGTGGCATCTTCCCTGCCTTGCACGACGTCTGCCTCCACCTACAGCCAATGGTACATCGATCCAGGTTGAGGCTGAAACCTTATAATGTTGGTACAGCAATAGGATCCGCCATCCAATGACTTTTGTTTGCCATTTTCCCATGGTGGTAGAAACCATCCAAATGTGGGCCTATGGAAGTGTATGATGTGCATCAATTTCTTCAATCTTGCGTTTCTGTTCACTCTGGGTGGTGGTGGGTTCAAGATTCGAGTGAATACAACAGACGATCAGTTTGTTCTAAATTTCCGAGATTTCCGGGGGGTTGTGGGAAATATGCACTATGTTCATCAGAAACATTCACTATGGCATATCATGGAAAAGAATGGAAAAGAGTCCAATTTCTAGCAAATACCCGGGCTAGCTATCAATGTGGGAGCAACAATGGTTGCGCACAAGTAAAAACAACATGTAATTACAGTTCATTGTTCTTCCTAGAACAGTTTAGTGCAGACATTCGTGAACATTACATTCTCCATTGCGGCCAAGTATCTTCCAGTCCAAGTGATCAAGTGATCTGATCTACAGAAAATCAACCAAACTTTTAAAGCAAACCACCCCGAAAATGCCAAAAAGTCGATTTCAATCCCACTAAAAGTGGCATATTCTACAGATTTTATCACATTGTCTGCATCTTTTTGTGGGGTTTTCGATATTTAAAAGCCATTTTTGCCCCAGCGCCGCGCCTGTGCAACCAGCTGCACCTTGACGTTGGCACCGAAGGTTTGGCCCGCCACACGTAGCACAGAGCCACGCACGCGACAGGCCACAGCACCTTGCGCCTTGGATTTTTTCAGGAGACGAGGGGAGCCATCCGGTGATCGGTGATGTGGGAAATTGGCTTGCAGTAAATCATGATGGTGATAATGAATAATAATCAATGGGAATTCCAGGATCCTAAAATGGAGGTACTGTACCATATAAGGCCATATTTTATGGGGATATTCACTTACATAGTAATAATAAGAAGAATATCAATACTAATTTAGTAAAAATAGTAATAGTTCAGTATAATGAAATAACAAAAATAATAATGATGATGACAATGATAATACTGACGATAATATCAAGAATAGATTTTATAAAATAGGTTAAATCGATTATATATGTGAAACACTGTTGCAACTATATGTTTGGTTCCGTTAATCAGGATATCAAAAATGTGTAAAGCACTGTTAGAACTGATAGTTATTGATAGTAACTAATAGTTTTGATCGTAACTAACTATATACTATGTATATATATATATATATATGCATGTATATATAGGCGCTATATAATTGTGTGTGTCATGGTGACAACAAGTGAGATACTTACTGTGTCGGAAAACACTATGAAACTACAATTTGATATAGTTATATAATTAATTAATCTATTTTTTTTGGTGTTAATCTGATGTATCTGTAAAGCACCATACAACTATATATGTGTTTCCATTGTTTGATTTTTCACAGGGATTTTCAATAGAAATTTCCCCGGGTTTTTGCGGCTGGTCGAACTTGGTTTCCCCCACTGAGGTCTCATAGCAAAAGGGCACCGTGGTCGCTAAAGCCTGCAAAGTTTCAGGCCCTTAGTGGTTCCAAGCATCCAAGACATCAAGTAGTATCGTGCTATGAAATAAACAACAAACATGAAGAGTTTTCTTCTTATTTCTTCATCTACTACATCACCATGAAAAACGGGTTTCTCATGGCTTCTCATCTGGACACAATGCAAATGACGGCTTCCTTCATTGTTTTTAAAGGCACTTCTCACGGGTCCCGCCTGTGTCAGCGCCGTTGGACATGCGTCCTCCGGCTCCAAAGCTTTACAGCTCCAGGTGGGCCTAGCCAGGTGATTTCCATTGGTTTTAGGGAACAAATCTGCAGGAAACCCTTCCCTCTGGTAAACGTTTACATAACTATGGAAAATCTCCCTTTTTAATTGGAAAATCCACTATAAATGGGCAATTTCAATAGCTATGTAAGCGTTTACCAGAGGGTAGCTTTTTACATCAAACCCTGCAAAGTGCAAACCCTGTACCTTTCCCCCAACCCTGAAACCCTATAAAAACCCAAAAAAGAACCGAAAAAACCTGAACCCCCAAACAACCAATCAAGGCCCTAAAACCTGAAACGCTAAAACCTTGAAGCCCTAACCCAACCCCCTAAAACCCGAAATCCATAAATCCTGAAAGCCAAAGTCAAATTCGCATAAACTCGCTGTATATAGCCTATAAATGAAATATTGTCACATTTCTCTCTGTATATTATTTGGGCATGTGACAGTGCGAATGTAGGGTTTGGCGCCTACATGTGTTACGTGTTTTTACTGTTAAAATTGGGGGTTTCCAGATGGGTTTCCAGCAATTTCTTCCATCCAAGTCTGGGATCCCTACTGTTTGTGCTGGCGTGCTGGTCAGGAACACCCCGAGAGGTTCAACTTGTGGCCATCTTGGGCCAGGCCAAAAAAACAAACACCCGAAGTTCATAATCACACACAGAGAGAGATATATACATATATATATATATTTTCAAATTAATTCAATACAGACAGTATCATATACATATATAGTTCTCATGCGTTCTCATAAATAATTGCCTTTGCTTAACCTAGCCTTTCTGCCCTTTCTTCTCAGACATGGCTATGCGAATGGTAGCCGTGTCCCAGGGTTCTGCAGGCTTCTTCTGTGCTTCCGGGCGCTGGAAGCGTTGCCTGCGCAGCGTGGAGAGTTCTGGGAGTTTCAACTTAGATGGGCCCCGGCCCTGGCCACGGCTGCATCACTGCGGGTCGATTCTGGAAATTCTATGGATTTGGGGCTCTTTGCTGGTGACTGTGGCATCAGCTGTTGCAATTACAGTGGCCTTTTTTTCCGCCACCCCTGGGGAGCCCTTTGGAGCCAACCTGAGCTCTCTGTAAAGACGGGAAACTGTGCTGGTTGGCCCCCCAAACCAATGGGTATCAGCAACTCGAATTGAACGTCAAACAGATTCGTCACCAGCCAGATATAGCATAATATGGCATAAGTTTGGCCAGTTATGGCCAGCTACATCACTTGCCCATGAAAAATCCGCCCGACCCAGTGCTGGCTCCCCAGCACCCCCGGTGATCCTCGGGGCTGTCCGGGTCAAAGGATGGGGACATGTCCACTTCCACCGCCTGGTCTCTCCTGCCGTGACAATGGTAACCCCACACGCATTCATAGCGGTTGATGGCGGTTCATAGTGGCATTGACATACCGCGGCGATACAACTTACAAGTCATAACCAACAGATATGGTGATATCATCTCAGCCTCCTGATACTAGACATCCCCTTTAGCTGGGTCCTAAATAAGTGTTCTTGATTTGCTTACTAAACCATGGGGGGAAGGGATTACCACCATTGACCCCTTGAAAAATAGATTTTGTTTTGAGGGTCCTGGACTTGGAAACTAGGCTGTGGCGGCTGTGGGAATGCTTTGGTTGCCTTTCAATCTTGGATGCCCCAATCTGCACCCCGGTCCAACCCCAATGACCACACATACGTTCTGATTTCAGATGCTTTTGCATGATTAGACTTTCAGTTGAACCTCTTGGTCGTTGTTTACTATGGTTGCCTATGTCCAGATGAATTGGACTGTCGCAGTGCCATCTATGCTGTGTGTATGGGTTGCTCTCGGCATTTTCGGCTGGCTTGTGGGGAGGTGTGCTCCTGAATTGACGTTTATAATGATTTTTTGCACTGTAGCTCTGGTGCAATGATTGCAGCAACCTGAAATATGTATGTATATATATGTATATGTATATAGATAGATAGATAGATAGATAGATAGATAGATAGATAGATAGATAGATAGATAGATAGATAGGATAGATAGGATAGATAGGATAGATAGGATAGATAGGATAGATAGGATAGATAGGATAGATAGGATAGATAGGATAGATCGGATAGATCGGATAGATCGGATAGATAGGATAGATAGGATAGATAGGATAGATAGGATAGATAGGATAGATAGGATAGATAGGATAGATAGGATAGATAAGATAGATAGATAGATAGATAGATAGATAAGTGGGAAACCTGGAAAACCTAATTGGATATCATCCATAACATCCTGGTGTTTCCCCTTTCTATCTTTTGGGGGGCTGCCTTCTGGTACCAGGGTATCCCGGGCGTCCTGATCACCACCAAAGGTTGTCTGAAGGTCATCTGCAATGGTGAGGGATCCACCTGGACCTCGAAACGCGCAACGAGATCACGGTGGTTGCGATAGCTCCAGAGATGTGACTCAGGCATTTGATACCCTTCACTTTGCTATAGAATAAAATTGCGTGTATATATATATATATACATTTATATATATATATACATAATTTCATGATATTTATTATAATTATATATATAAATATATATCAACACATAGCACCCTCTCAAAAAATAGAACAGTAATATCCTATTTTAGATAGTGGTAATTTACTTATCGTTTGCGGTTAACATGCATAAATCTGGATAAAGTATAACATAATTCACTAACCTGAAATGATGACGCAGTGAGGTCGTTATAGTTTACTGTATATTATGTATTCAAATCTATTTGATATATCCGGGTACATGTTCTTCATATCATTTCACCATGTTTCATGTGAGAGCACTGCGATCCCTGACAGCAGAACAGCAGAAAAGCAACACCATGCAACACCCAATCCTCGGATTGTGGAAAAAAGATTGGTAAATCATCCGCATCGTTTCTATAGTTCAGGCATGGAGCCATGAAACATGGTATGGAGCCATGGGTGGTCCAACCATCAATAACTGGGATATAGTCTGGTTACTTTGCCATTTCATAGTCATTGCCCCAGGCTTTCAAATGGCAAATAGTAGTACAGTAATAGTGAAAAAAAGGGTGCCCCAACCACTATTATAACTCCAACCACTACTATAAATAGCAAATAAATAGAGATATAGATATGATATCCAAATATAATCATACAAAAGGATACATATCTATACCTATATATACATATTATAAACATATATATATATATATAAAGTATATATATATATATAAAGTGTGTATATATATATAAAGTAGATACGAGTCTCAAGGCATCCCGACACTGACATCTTCCGTGGATGCATACCCTGGCCTCAATGACTTGCAGATGACATGTCCCAAATTTTGGGACGTTCACCCCATGAAAAATGGTAGGAAAATCATTTTTCATGTCAGAAAAGGCCATGTGAAAGAGTCTTTACGGACCACACCGTAGCTCATCCCCTTAACTGCAGGGGTGGGGTAGTGGCCCGCCTGTCCGCCTAATGTTGCACCCGGGTATTGAACCGGGTCTGACGCATGAGGGATGTGTCTTATCCACTAGACCATACCGGCCCTCTCATCAGAAAAGGCCATGTGAAAATCTGTGAAACATCACCCTCGTGTGGAAAAATGATAGTTAACACCCATTGATCCCCTCTTCCATAAAGGTGAAGGGTGATGTTGATGGATGGAATGTGAGGAAATAAATTTTGAACAAAGCTGGACAAAAGGGTCGGGTGGGCCAAGTGTGCCATGGTCATGACTTCCTCCAATGGATGGGGTTCACCCCAGCTACCCCAGCTACCCCAGCTACCCCAGCTGCTTGACCTTGTGACCGCCACGTCATGATTTCTGGATCTGTTTTTAACCCCAAAGACAGGCTTTAAAGGTGCTCGAGGAATTCCACAAATGCCTGGTTTTCTCAAACATGGACTCAGGTTCAAAAAAATCTTCAATGTGGCACACCCAGTGCCACAAACTATCCCCAAAATCACCATTTTTCTGGGTGGGATTCCAACCATCCCCAAATGCCAGGTTTATCCAACTATCCCAACCATCCCCAACCATCCGCATTCGCCCCAGCTGTTACACCAAGGGCCACACACAAAGAGAACCGGCTCCACGCTCAGCTGAAAGT